ATATCGATGCAATAACTCGATTCGAAAGGGATTTTTGTATCGACACCTAACAATTCGTGACATTTTTTGTTCCGATGTCAGTTGTAATGGAGGCATTAAGCGTTCCGATGCGTGCGAGTAGAGCTTTTGTTGCATTCATTATTTAATTCAAGTTTAGTATTTAAAAATTAAGAACTTTTGATCGATGTGATGAATCATCATCACTCGTTAAAAAACCAAAAAACATTAAATGATGAGATAAAAAAGCACTTACGACCGTCCATGTATGTACTCAGCTTCTTATAGATAGCTATACACAACATAAATGCTCACAAAACCATCTATACCTACTATCACAGTTTGAAAACACCCATAAAATCTTCGTATAGTTACCAAAAATTGTTGTAAAAGTAAAAGACTTGGGTATCAGTCGATCGTCTTATTAGCATTTAATTTGTGTCCAAAGGGGCTTTGGTCTTGCTTCATGGGTCGGTGCCCCCCTAAATGAGACACTTCCTTGCCTCGGGGCGGGGAGGGGCTATATTTACGTTTGTTATATTTTTCGATCGTGCATTCGCCATTGGTTGGATTTTGGTAACTTTGGTCTATCATTATAGTGATACGCATCGACACGATTACTCGTATAATGACATGTTTGTATGTAAAAGGTTGGCTTTGTATGTGTGCCACTTGCTTAGTGTAATGGCTGAACCAAGGTGGAAGAATGAAATGTGGTACCATGGAAGTAATCTGTAGCGGTAGAGAGTACAATGAAATTGGTGTGCTCGAAATAATTTTGTTTGGCTCGTTGGTTCAGCAGTAAGGGGTCAGGGGATCTTGGCGATTGCCTTTTGGTATTTCTGGTTGTTTGCATCGGTAATCAAAATGTATGAGAATAACATACTATACTTCTTATTGGAATTGTGTTCATGTAGGCACATTCCAAGCTATTGTTCTATTAAGTTCCTAAGTTATTTGTGTTATACTCCATTCCATCAACATAGCCTTTCTTCAGGTTGATTACTTAATAACACTTAAGCTTTGCAATGGTCGTTTGTTGATAGTGAAATCTAAGTTCAATTTGTAGCACGATGCGAATTATACCCAATCACGATAAAGTTTCACGACAAAAGTTCTAGCTAATATAAGCAAGGCTGCGTCATAAAATTATACGGCGTAACATTAAGTAGAAGGTGTGAATGGTTCTGAGATTTTAACGTATGATTCATACAAAGATCAGTGACCCAAAAGATTTTAAATCAGCAAACCCACGCTTATTAGAGTATCTATCACTTTTTTTATAGAAGAGGTCAAATTACAATAATTTTGTGGTCAACATTATACTGTTTGTTCGTGTTTGTTTAGAACCCGATATAATGATCATTACTAGTTTAAATGTAAACAAAAACATTCTTAGTATTTCTATAAAAATAAATATGTAGTTTTTTGTCTGCACTTGAACAGATTTTGCCCACTGTGTTCTACATATCCGTGGTTGATGTTGAACTAGAGGCAAATAACAATTTGTTGTGTTCAATAATGACACAAGCCGGAATGATAACCATTATGTCGTGGGCGGGATCGAACCCGCTACCCGGTGCACGGCGGTCATTACCGGGCACTATGATTTGTGGCCATGTACGGCTCAAGGTGGGATGGTATTAGCTGTATTAAAACTTTTTATATCAGTCTTTAGAACTAAGGCGATGTTTTAGAATCAAATTAATGAAACACTTCTGCAATTAAACCTATGTGTTTCAATGTGATATCAATTAATATGCACCATCAATTAAATTTCAACTTTAACAGCGGAACGAAATGGTTGTTTTTTATTTACACATACTTTTTCGCGAGACATAAATCTTTGAAGTATAAGTGAATCTATCAAAATAAAGTTCGTGATCATTTTAATTAATAAAAACCTTTTGCTACCATAGAAAAAAGAACATTTTAAAACCGTTCCAACACGTATCATTACCGCTACAACAAAAAATCTTGACTAACAATTAATAGGAATTCACATAATTATAGAAAAAATGTTTTATTTGAAATAAAAAAGGTTATAATTAAAAGCCAATCAAAATTGCAAGGAAAACGTATCAATCATCAGTAGTCGGGTAAAAATGTATAATTTTTATACGACATTTAAGTCCCATCGTAATCGACCCATACATTTTAATAGGCATATCATAAAAGATAAGATCAAAACACAACACAAATTGCACTTTAAAACTCTTACTGTAAAGTACATTTTAATTTGACCGTGCTAAATGGTTAACTGTCATTTTTATAATTTTTGCAAAATGTCTCTCGTATCGATCTGATATTTATTGCTAAAATATATAATAACCCTTTTTTTTAACAAAATCCTTACTAATTAGTTATTAATGTGATAGTGAGTTTGTTTGTTTTCATTTTACGTTTCAATGAAGCGAACTTATTGATATGATTTTTTGTCCGATGATAGTTAGGAGGCTATTAAGTATAGTAGGATATGTTTCGAAAATTTACTGTACCTATTTTTATTTAAAAAAATACATCTGCAATCTTATAGTCGATGTATATTTCAACCTTCTTTGGATCAAGTAAAATTTTTATATAACATTTACTATTTCGTATGATATTATGTAATAACATTTACATACTTATTTTTATTAGTCACTGAAGTGCTAGGTGTAAAATTTAATTAATTAAATAATATTTTTTCCAATACATCCTGATGTTTGCACACTGTGCGTCATAATCGTGAAACGGCAAACGGCTATAAATTAACGCACCTGCCGTTATTTAATACGCTTGCAAATAATAATTATTGATTAAACATATAAAACTGATTACACATATTAATTAAAAACATAAAAAAAATTTGTTAAACATTACAATTTACTTTTGAAAAACGATTTGTCGATTTTTAAATATTTTTTTTGTAATGTCATTTTTGAACTAGTTCGTCATTAAAAATATAAAACAATCCTTTTATTTAAAAAAAAAATGAATTAAAAATGTTGATGATTAAAACGAATTTTACTATGAGACTTTATTATAGACATAGAAATGACCAAAAATTTTATTGTAACTCCGAAAAAAAAATAAATTAATGGTCCACTATAATTGGCTATCAATTCTTAAACCAATTAGTTAGGTAGGTATAAAAATTTGCATAAAAGATTGTGTGTTGCGTTTTATAAAAAAAATAAGGAAAACAGTAGAATCGGTTACTGTTTAATAGGACGTATAATTAAACTATTACGTAAAACTAATTATAGCCAAATAGAGAGTCACAAAAAATTTGACTCATTCACTAGTTTTATTTTCATCTACCATTCCGAAGTCAAAGCGTTTATTTCACTTTTAAAACGTATACATTGAATTGTCCGTCAGTCTGTCTCTCAGTGAAGCTAGGTAACTAGGTAACCCGTTCCGAAGTGCAGTTTTGAAAGGACTACTTCTTTTCATTCATCTTGTAATATAGCTATAGTTCTAATTTCTATACCATATGACCCTCAAGAACGCTTCATCAATAGATTATGTACATCTCTGCCTATCCCTTCAGAGATTATAAGCCCTTTCGTTGTTTTATAATTAAAAATATTAATCTACGTCCAAACAAACCTTCACAGTTATTACAAAATTCAATCATTCAAACATGTCCGATTCCTCCAACAGAATTGACTTAGCTATCAACTTAAGCAACATTTTAATCAACGTTAGAGTCTTTTAAATCATTAATACGATCATTAAAATCGATAATCGGTATTAATTCCTATTGTCTGCCTAGGTCAATTGAAGCCAAGTACTAATTAGACCCAACAATATTATTAGGCATTACGTTTAAACCTAAATGTATTGTCTAAGCATTATTTTGTTCTCTTAAGTTTATTTGCACTAAAATAACTATAGCTGTATTGTGTTTAGTTTTATTAGTTTCTAAGTCTTCGGATCTTTGTTTTACACCTTTGTTTCTTATGATGATTATTAGGTTTCGAAATAAATTTGCATTTACGTTCTCTGTAACTTAAATCTTCTGTGGGATATACTAAAATAATGACTATGTTTTCGGCGTACTCACGTAACTGCTTGATGAGTGTCGACTGTCGCATTGCTACTTCGCAGTCTGTCTGCACCATAATGTGTATCTCTGCCTACCCCATCAGAGATAAAACGCGTTATATTATGAGTTATCTCCAAATGTTTATGTGCTTCAAACAATTTTCTCAAACAGTAAGCCGTTCTAAACCAAACAGGAATCAACAAAAGAATAATGAGAAAATTTAATTTTAATTACAAATCTAAGTCGGAAGCAAATTAGTAAAGTTTTGGAAATGTTATGTCATGTAAATTTAATTAGTACATAGTCATGATTTAATTATTATTGTTGGCAACTCACATATATACTGTGTTGCTAGATGTAAAAAATCGGGCCGCTTCGGTGTGCATGATAGTATCGCATTTCCGGGCAACACGGGGTTTAAATGTCGAAAAAAAGCGTTCTTAAGTATAGCCACAGATTATAAAGGAGATCGGACAGATTATTAAACCTACTAGGCTGAAAGATAAGCATTGAAAAGTATGTGAAGTTAGATTGGTATCAAGTTTAAAACTATGTATTTACAAATGCTGAAGCATGCAAAATTGTTATAGGTAACTTGGATATTACCTTTAATTGAACATGTAAATCATTATTAAGACAATGTTACATCACATAAAAGTCTTTCCTTACTATATTTTATATCAGCTCCATGAAACACGTTCACAGTTATCTGTACCATAGTCCTCAGTACAATCTCCTACAAAGTCTGGAGCTATCGAGTTATTATAATTTATAGTCCGTAAATTGTCGACTCTATATTCTTAATCTAGGGTGCGTGCGCGAGCGCAGCCAAGCGAGCGAGCATTTTATTAGCCACGTACAAGCATTACGACCCGACTGCGCCTGCCATTAATCCAGTACCTAACAACCTCATTTTACATTCATTATGATTGTGAAAATTTTCTAATAAATATGTTTCCTTCTTCCACAGATACGTCAAGAGAAACCTTACTACATAGCGGACCCTGAGGTCGACTCATTAGTAAGTATTGTCCACATTTACTACTCATATAGACCTCAAAACAAATAAAACGTGGGATAACTTTAATACCCCATAAAATAGGAACATTTCAGCGTAATTTACGATTTGATTAGCTAAAGAGCTGTCCAAAATTAAGCACAGGTAAACGAGAAATATTTCTGAGAACAACAAAATAGGGAAATAAGATTAAAAAATATATTATATTGTCACTCATAAAAAGCTGAATCGCACCGTGTGCCTCCCGCGGCTAGCTGGGACAAAAAGTGAAATAATAAAAGTAAGATGGCGGCCACCCACGGCCGCGGTTCGACACGGGTACTTAACCGATTTTTAACAAATAAAATCTAAGGCATTACGAATCGCGCCGGTCGGAGGCGACGTTCATGTTATTTGACTTTGTTACCGAAAATTCGTTTTATCAACTGTCAACGTTACGCACGTACCTAGGCTGGTACAGATTGATTTGTTTGTCTAACGCATCGTGACTCATAAATTTGAGAAATTAAAAGCTGGTTGGAAACAGTAGCGTGGAGGTTATAAACTAAGCTGTCAGTGTTACCTGTGGAGCGATGATAAGCGTCATTCATCCACACGGAGGAGTTTTAACCAGGTTCGAGATAAGATGGCCAAACACGAGGCGACATCCGGGCGTAGAGCAAACTTCACTCGACGAAATAGGTGAATTATCGTGTTGTGTTTTTGTCCTGAAGCTGACATGTGGTGCCACTGGCTGACGCATCTGTTTGCCTAGTTGCACAGTTTATTTTTGAGGGGCCAGTTGTTTTTAGCTTTATCTTTGTACTTGGCTTCTTCCAAAACGAGAATTTTGAAGCGAATATTAGTGAAACACTGTTTTTAAAGCGTCCATTTGAACTTGTGTATAACTGAGTTTTTTTAGTTAAAAAACCGCAAAACGACAAAAGTCATAACAAACGTAAACTGCACAGTGGGCAATAGTTGTTGACTACTTACTGCATAATTAGTTCAAGTACGAACAGCTTAAGTATCTCGTAATATATTTTTTCCACAAAAAGTTTGCGGTTAGCCCTCTGTGCTAACTGACAATGGACACCCAACAAAATTACTTCTTTAGGGTTATTATTGACTTTTTGAAATAATTGACGTGGAGTACATTTATATGGTAATAATTACGATGTGCTTTTGTTGGGACCTCCTGAGAGCCACATGACACGTCCGACTTAATGAAGTCGCCTATTTAAAAGTTTTTCAAAATATAATTATATCATAAGCTGCGAAGAATGTTTGTATGTGTGTAGTTTGAAGAGCTTTTGGCAGTTCTATGTACATAGTTTTGTAGACATAAATAAATAAAGTCAAGGTTGGCCCTTTCATACATAAACCTTCCTAAAAGCTCAGAACGAAACACAATATTAAAAAAAAACTCATTTTTTTACTATCCTATTCTTTACCCAGTAACATAATGAAATATCACATTTCAGAAAACTAATGATTAATTTTGTAAATAAATACTCTCAAAAACATCACCACCAATATCACCCTAACGCAAGTAAACCCGCGTCCCAAGCGTATAGAAACTAAAGACATTCACCGAGCGTACAGCCTCAGGTGGTGCTCTTTATCCGCAACTGTCGTTAATACAATGCAGAGTGCACTATTGTACGTAATTGGCAACCATTTGCTGTCTGTCCCTCACATCATGGCGTATTTATGGAATATCCCAGAGTCGGCCAAGGTCCTAACCTTAAAACAGAGCTTTTAATAAAACCTCTTTTCAAATTAAAACGAAAAAGTTAAAAACACTGGCAGTCTATAAACTTTTGGTAAAGTTCGAATTTCAAAAAAGTAAATTCAAATAGTCGAAAAAAAAAATATGAACACGTGGGCTTACGTTTGTCACTCTAGTGATGTACACACATAACTACGCGCCATATCGAAACAAAGTAGAGTCAACTAAAAACTAAAGTTGACTAAAACCAACAGAGAATCGACTGTTTTATTGACCCATTTGGTTAGAGAGGCGATTGGTTACGACCCGTGGAGGTTGTTTGCCCACGTCACATCTGTGTTTGGTCTGTCACAGCCTTTTGAGGCTTTAAGCTTCCTCAAACATAGTTGAACTGCAGTAGCGTCGGTAAACAGAACCGAATAGTTTTGTATTTTACGACTCATTAGTAAACGATATCGTGTTAACACTCACTGGTATGACGTCGCTCTAATCCCTTGAATTTTTTATATATAGAAACGCGGCCTTAACTTTTTATTGCTTATTATTATTAACAATAAACTTATAAAATGGGGTTAACTGTGTAATTTCTTTTTATTAATTGAGTTGTTGATAGTTTCAGTTTTTCTCGTTAAATGAGTTTTTAGTGCAACTTTTAGGAATATGAGCGTTATAACTTAATTAAGTGTTAAGTTCGTTTTAACACTAAAAAAATACTAAAAAGTCAAATGCAACATAAAGTTATATTTGGTGTTATAAACAACTGTTAATTATTTTTATCGACATATTTAATAGATTATTTTCGCACTTCTAGCTATTTCAATAACTATAAAAAATCCAAACATGCTGCCTACCAATAAGAAAAATTAGTTTAAAATTTTAAAATCCGATTCCCTTAACCGAAATGTGGGTTTCCAAGCAAAAGGGATTACATTGGTACACTCAGAGTCTCCCCTTTCCAAACAAACTCGTCTCAGTGGCAAGACAGAAACAAGTCAAACACATTTTTATCTGTTGGTGTCGCCTGTGTCAACGGAACGTCTGAACAAACAGCCAAGGGTGGCGCTTTGGACTGTTTAATTGATATTGCAGCTACGAGCGTCACAGATGTTCCCACTACTTGTGGGATCACTTTTAACTACACAGCTACTGATTTAAAACAAAGTAACCCATAAAAATCAGCCATAAATTAGCACAAAATGTAACACAAATTACAAAATACCTTCTCATAGTTATAAAACCATTCATTTCACTATTAATCTAATCGAAAGTGAGCAGTAATCATTAGATTAATGTTATAAAAAAACAGTTTTTACAACTATTACCAATTTTCCACACAATCATGATACTCTCATCTCGACCGGAAATACAACAATTTCAATCGTAATAACATGTAATAGTAGCTCAGTATCAACTTAATATACAGCCATGTTGTTCAAAACATTAAACGCACAAAATTAAAACTCGAAGTCGGTGTAAAATCATCAATCAAAAACGAAATAAGCCAAGATCGCTTTTAGAATTCAGCTAGCGTCCTCAAGTGGCAATCAGAAACAAATCAAGACGCTATTAAAACGGCATTAACTGCTTTTTTAGATAGATATCGATTTGAAAAAAGTTACCGATTAGATCTCCAAACACTATCAAACAATAGTCGATAGGATCTTAGTACGAATGGCATTCGTATTGAGGCCCGTGATCATGTTCTTTTATTATTATATGTGTGTATTATGTAAATTCAAGGGAATACGTTGGCTTTGAACTTTGAAATTGATCGAGAGATTACGTAGTTATGAAATGAAATATGTGTGTAGAAATAATAGCAAGATTAATTTTAAGATAAATTATTTGCAAGCTGTTTTATAGTATCATAACTATCGATAACTAACGCAAATATGATCACTTCACTACACAGCGAGAGCCCGCCATACATTGTCTGTCCATTGTTGCTCAGTTCGCATTGTGAGATGCCCGATAGACAATATTATGTGTATCAAGTTTCAACCTAAAGGTACAGGTATAAACAGAAATATTCGGCCTCAACTATACAACCATCCATTTCGATATTATTAATATACATAAATAAACAAAATATCCTAAGATTGCAGAGTTTTTGCCAGATTATTATCATCAACATATTCTAAAATTATTACTAGAAGCCACATTTTCATTCAGAGGACGAAACAAAGTCGTTTTTCGAATTGGTGACATCACTAATTACCACAAAAAAAAGTACAGTAACATGTGACATTTAATATTGAGGATACAATTTATAATTATAAATAATAATCCAAACACTCCCACGACATGTTAGAAATGGAACAAACTACTCCAATATTAATAATATGAGATTAAAACGATGTTTTTCTTTCCAGATGGTGCAAGCGATACAAGTTCTACGGTTTCATCTATTAGAATTAGAAAAAGTAAGTATAATATACTATCTTATTGGAATACATTTGGAATCGAAACTCGAACCGGTTTTGAAAAAATAACACCTTTCGATTATCTTTAGGCACGATTTTATATCGAGATATCGTATCGATCTCCGGGCACGCAACGACTGCACGCACTGTCCGTTCGATGTTTAAATTAATCAAATTCACGTTTCGAATAGTTTAAAAATATGTTTGTAATTAAGAATTCACGCAACAGTTATGATGAAGAATACATTAGGAACATACTACTCGTGTATTGTGTCTCCGAGTAGCTACATAACATTTTGTTTGATTGTTCAACATTTGAAGTCACATTGAAACTACATAGGGATCCTTGACATTTGATAAACGTCTTCAAGAACAGTCTAAGGGCATAGTTCATACTGCCTTCTCGTTAGAATGAATTGTTCTCGGTCTAAAAATAGGACAGTCAATGCTACGGGCAGATCCACCTCCAGTATTAAATGGAAAGTTTATTTGAGACATAAGGCCATGTCCAAACCTAATTTGGAGTTAGCAAAACTAAACGTCGGCTAGTGCGCGAGGTGTCGTCGGCGCGCGAGTGAATGGGATCGGCGTTCGCATTTCGAATGTTGTTTGTTTTTCCCTTATCTCCCATTTGGGCGCGTTCCGTTCGGACCGGTTCGGCTTCTTGCGTGTGTCGCATCGCCAATTCTCGCCATTATACTCTCCAACGTAACGGTAACGCGACGGGACGCGAGCTTTTTGCTATTCGCAATCAGATCGAACAATTTGCGCTCGGTCGCATTAATTAGGAGCATAAAATTCAAATCTCCGGTATGTTTTTACGACGCGCGGTGTCGCCCGGCGAGGAATTAATTTAGCTTGTCAATATTATGGTCACGTTTCAACGAAACTAGTTTGACTAACGTCTATATCAAGACGAACGATCTCGAGAAACGAGATACCTCAAGCGGCCGCTCTCACAGCGGATTCCATAAAATATCGGGCGCCGCACCGCGTCTAAGTCGCGCTGTGTTTGGGGATACGTCCGACCGAACCGTACGCACTAATACGGGCCGCTGTAACGAGATAACGTGTAATGCGATACCGCTGTACGGAACTGGCTGGCCGGAGGCCGGAGGGCGAGATAAAGGCCGTTTTGGAAAAAAATAAAATAAAAAATAATGCCTTGTTCGAAATTCAAAATAGCGAGGAACGCGCGGAGATTGAAGAAAATCGTTCAATTCATCGAGACGGATGATCGATTTTTAAATTTGTGTCCGCGAGTTTGCTCTTTTTCGTGAGAAACAAGTGAAGTGGTTTTTCAAAAGTAACTTACTCGGTACCGAGCTGTTTAAACAAGTCAGAACGTTTTCGTGTTTATTTATCTCTTCGACAAGGAGGTGCAGAGTTCGCGACATCTGAGGACCAGTTATCACTGGCGACCCGATATCTAGCTTGCATAGAAAGTATGCTTCGACACCGAGCAATGAAAGCCGAGCTCAGTTTAGCGGAAGTCAGTTAGATGCAGACAGACACGTTTACCTGTCTCTGTGATCTGAGGCCTTAGTACGAGTTTGATTTACGTTTAAAGTATTCGAAACGAGTTGATGTTCGGCACTCTGATTGGCCGGAGCCAATGAAGCAACCAATCACAGCGCTGAACGCGTACTCGTTACGATTACTTTAAACGTAAAACAAACTCGTACTAAGGCCTCTGAAAAGCTATTTTTTCCTCTGTCCATATCCCATACATGTCGGCTCCCATCTCGTCCATGGTTTTTGTCGAATAAAATTTAAAAAAAGATGCCGTTAGTTCGATCCGTTTCCGCTTCACTACACACCGTTCACAGGTGATGTGGTTTTTTTGAGCTTTTATAATAATTAAAAATAAAAAAGCCTCCAACGGCCCAACTCGCGCACAATGAGATCTCGTTAAGTGCACTGTTTTTTACAACCTTTTTACTATAATTGCTCAGTTTTTTACCTCTTTTTCGGTAAAAAGATCAAGTTTATAAAGATCTTTTGAATGCAGTCGAGTATTTTTTGACAGAACATCTATGGTCGGTAATGAGGTGTAATGTTATTGCGTTAGACAAAAAACGACACTTTAAAAATTCCTGAACCTGGCCATCTCTTTAACGAACTCCCCGAAATTATATTTACATTGAAAATATCGTATAACGTTTTTGATTTATGTTTTAATATTTTAAATATGGCCGCCGGCGACATTGCTCGATGTTGAGTCCTTTTCGGTCGATCGGCTCTGCGATTGGTCGTCGTTACGAGCGTTTTTTTAGTCGCGCCGTCTGACTGTGCCCTAATTACGTTATGTGATGTAGCTCGGTAATGTCAGCCTTTTATTAGACTCGTTCTTTTTTCGAATTTTCGAATATCGAAATTGGTCGATTACGGCATTTCTTGGCTGTTCATTCGTCCAAATCCATCCAGTAATTTTAAAATGAGAACCTTTTGTTTTTATTTTTTTATTTGTTTGAGATTCTTTATGACCATAGACTAACCAGTTGTTATACATCCTATTCTTAGCTTTAACATCAACAAGCATCAATTTTATTGAAAATTGATTTCTAAACTAGTTTTAAATGGGCGATACGACATAAACTGACTGCAATAAATGTTATTAATTGTCGATACTAAAAGTAATATCGAAAATCACTTCAACCTCACCTGACCACCTACCGACAAAATTTTAAAGCATTTTTTCATATTTCGTTTGCGTATCGTAAAACCTTATCTGTAACGCGCTTAACTGATTTACGAGGGGTCAGATTTGTTGGTTTACAGGACTCGAACCCTGCACGTTTTACTGCCGACCCGTTTTTACAACCGTTATACTGGTGGATTACTATATGACACCGGGGCGACTTGTATTTCTTTTACTGTTAGTTTTTCACACGTTAAATTGGTATTTTAATTAGTAGTTTGATTAAGTGGTGTTTTGTTTATTGAATATACAGTTTTGAAACTTTGAAAATGTGATTGAGATGCAGACGTAAACTTATTGAAGCTAATGTAGATTCTTCTTAATTTCTGGAAAAAGTAGGAATTTCAACAATCGCATACTACAAAGCTTTCACTAAACTAACATTTGAACAAATTGCTTGTAATAACACCCGAATTATCTAGTAAATACAAGTAATAATCGTTCGTACACAATAAAATAAAGGAAAGAGCCGTCAAAACTTTTCATTTGACATAATAACGTTTGAATTACAAGAGAAAAAATATATAAACAGCAAATAAAAATAAAAGCCGCCATTATTAAAAATAAATTCGATAATGTGACATTTGGAGAGCGATGGCGGCCGCGCATTCAGCCTGTCAAACGCACAGATTAAATAAAAATAAAAGCATAGATTATAAAAATGTTTGGTTTTTTATTAGTGATTGCGCCCACGTGTTTTAGAAGCACCTAGCTGTTAGTGGAATGGATAGTTATTGAAGAATTTGACCGACTTGGCAAATAATAATGTACTACGGAAGATATTTAGGGTAAAGTTGTTTTTTAATGATGTTATTTAAATTGATGTAATCATTTCTTTATTTAAACTGTAGGAAAACGTAGAAGCAATTATAGTTTCTTTGCCCTCCGGAGCAAAGCACAGAGATACTTGTTTATGCTCGAATCACCCATAAAACCTCAACCTCTGTACCAGTTGTTTTACCCACTCGTACGACCGTGGCCCACTTCTGGTTCCAGCCCACACTTCTGGCAGTCGCCGGGACATTTCAACATTTTACATGTCACCTGCCTAACTACCTGACACGTTTCAAATACTAAATCATGTTACCTAAGACCAAAAAGGCTTATTCTTTAAAGAAAACAAAATAAGAAAATTAAAATTGACAATATTCAGTCTTTAAATAATCCCGCGTAATTCCTATTTCAAACGAAATAAAGTTCGGTTTAAAAAAAACATCTGAGTTCTACATTCAAAATCCCTTATTATTCCAAATGTCACGAGCCGTTATGTATCACCTTTCATTTCATTCCAATTTTAAAAAGTATCGGTGAGACGCCGTTTCTTAATCCTGAGTTCCAAATTTAAAATTTTCTGGAAAGAGTTTTGGGTGCGACAGGATAAGCTGACGTTATGTCATTTTTAATTTAAATTATTTCTGAAGAGAGACTTAACAGCTCCAGTGCAGATCGTGTAATGAATTTTAAGCCATTACAAAAAAAAGAAATTTATTATTGATACGCAATTTTACGGACTACTTAGCTTTTTATATAGTTACAGATATCAGTTATAAAATATAGATGTAAATTATGATGCCCGTTATGAACTTGCACTAATTTATATACCTCTAAAAAATCGTATTAGAAAGAAAGAAAATATAGTTACAACAGTTTTGTCTACTGCCAGATGTGGCTCCTATGTTTTTCACGTCTCGTCAGTTGTCGAGTAATTTAGAAAAACCTGTCGATTAGGAAATTACTATCCCGAAACATAATTAACTGTCAACGGGGAGCATCGTTTCCGTTTCCGTCGTACCGTTATATTTTCATATTCTCTGACGTTTCTTCCCTAGTTTCGATGATAAAAATTAATATTATGAGTTATGGCTAAGGTTGTGCAATAAATTACATTTGAAACAGTTAAAAACTTTTTAGTATTTTTGCAACACTGTTGGTGGTTTCTGTGACAGTAAATGTCAAAATTAAAAAAAGATGAAAGATTGTCTTTGTTCTAGGCAAAGGAATCTCATAATTCTTCCTATGTTTTTACATTGTTTTTAGTTTTGATGTGTATTATATTTATATAAACGTTGTATTAACGACGTCTAAATCAAGGGGGTGGACAGCTCTTAATTCTATCATCGCTAGAATTATGATCCCCCGCATACTAATGCATCATATTAGTGTTGACATGTTAATTACTCCAAAATTATTTGATGATGAATATTAGATATTATTACAACATGTTTTAGTGACGTCCCTTACGTACACAGTATGGTGGTCACGCATGCGCTGTAAAGGGATAAAAAAGATAAGTCTATGAAACAATTCACAGATAATTAAAACTTGACAGACGTCAAAAAAAGAAGGGTGGAATTAGGCACTATGGCCAACACTGTGACATTAACTAAATAAAAAATATAGAATTGTATGTGTTTTAATATGGTAAAATGTATCTGAATTATTCCAAATCTCTAACCGAAATATAGGACGTAAAGCTTAGTACACAATAGCGGTCGTACGACAAAATTGTAAAGTAAAATTACAATTTCAAATGCCCCTTACACCTGCCGATATTTTATTGCCGACCGTGTAAACGCTATCTAAAAGTTTCGTTACCCATTTTATAGCTCTATGTTAATTTCTAAGTTAATTATAGCTATGAAAATTTATAAGGCCAACGCACAAAATTAATAATCAGCCCTCCAGGGTGCCTTCAGAGGTAGGAATGGTAAAAAATCGTGTTTCCTTTCCGTTTTACGATTCATTTTAGAGTTTTTACACGCGTGTGACAGTTGGTCGGTTCCAAATGTATTCCATTTTTGTTGTTTTTTTTACTTTTTAGTTTTGTATCCTGATGTTAGTTTAAAGGTTAAGTTTAGGCGAGCGGAACGACGATGGTTTAGTGTCGTAGTAACTAATAAATTAGCCTGTATAAACGGTTGTAATAATGTTTTAACTAGTACTAGACTGAGTTTTATTAGCTACAGAAATATTGACTCAGATCGTTAGGAAAATTTATATCCAATACAGATAGTGATTGATATTACGACGATAGCCAGCGACACTAGGCTCCATGCAACTTTAGCAGCAAGCAGCTTGTAACGGTTCTCCTCTTCGCAGGTACACGAGCTGTGTGACAACTTCTGCCACCGCTACATCAGCTGCCTGAAGGGCAAGATGCCAATAGACCTGGTGATCGACGAGCGGGAGTCAACGCGCCCGCCCGACACCAACGGAGAGCCGCGCTCCGCCCCCGACAGCAGCCACGACGGAGCCTCCACCCCCGATGTCGTGAGTACCCCCTACACCAAGTCCCATCTGATTCAGAGGCGTGATCCCCAGCTTGCACCCAACTCTACCACGAGCTATCTCGTGCACCCCTGCTCTTAGTTTGGCCATTGCAAAAACGAAGTATAAAAAGGGGGTGCTCGCAAAATAGTTTTAAATTCCCGCCTCCCTCGTTGTAATGCTGCGTCCGCCGATACTGTGACCTGAGCACCAGTTCTTTCCGCTTCTCGATGGTCTCAGGCCATGTCACAGTGTCTGCGGGCGCCGCACGCTCACGGCCGCTCCGACACCCTCAGGCTCGCGCCTGATGGTCAAGGATCGGCCGCTAGTTTAAGTTCCTTTAGAACAAATCTTCGTTTTTGCAATTGGCCAACCTCTTAACACTGTACGATTCAATTAAAGTAAATAAAGCAAACATAAAAATGAACGAAAATTTCCAAATTATTTTTCATATCACAACGTTACAGTGAAGGGGTGTAATCGGGTGCGATACAACACTATGACAAATGACAAAACGCCGTTTTGTATATTTTATTGATGTCGCGGACTTCCGCACAGCACGTTTCGATTTGTTTCTACTTTAGTGTTACGCTGACTGGACATACGCGCCTGTGTCCGTCTTACTATTATTTTGCACTGGAATTTATGTATACGATTGAAAAAAACATACGTATAACGTTGATTGTAATATGTGTATACTAATAACTACTTTTAAGTAAATAATACATTCAAGGTATGAGTTGGAGAGCCGTTGTTCTTGTCTTGAGGCAGTTAATACAATGCCATACAAATATTAGCATCGCGTTTCGGAGCTTAGATGTAAAACGTAATTAGATGTATTAAAAAACCTATTGGAAAACGAAGTATACGTAAAAATACAACTTTAACTTGCCTAAGTGAGATAATAAGGATTAATTAAGAGTTTTAAATTATTGTAATTGATTTAACGGTGGTAGTTGCTAGAGTGTTATTGTTTTTGGCTAGTAAATACAAACATGATACGTAAATAGTTGATATTTTACGTTTACTATGGGATAGCACGATTAACTACATCTTAGTTAGTGAAAAAAAGGTAAAAAAAATACGTACACAGTATACGCTAGTTGTAAAGAATGTCCATGTGATTTGCTCGACTTGTGTACATCTCATTGTAATTCGGCGTTTGCTTATTACAAATGTACAGATAAGAGCAATTATCATGTACGGATAATATATGTATGTGCGTTAATGAATAGAGAACTAGATGCTTATACAGAATAAATTAAATTTAATCGTGGCGTTCATTGTGTTGCCGATATTAAAACGTTAATGTGTACATTTATCCCCATTCTCCTCTCGATTTTAATATTAAAGTATAAATAAATGATAAGTTTCGCTGTATTTTTATACATCGCGTGAAAATTTTACAGTTTATTTTGTTTCAATGAAATGTTTCCGAAGTTTTGCTTTGGTTCTTGAGTCGACAGCGGCAGTCTGACACTGCCGCGTATTTGTTTAATATTTTAAGAAATATTTTGGGCGTTGAGACTGAATTGTTTTGTTTGTGTTATATGATTATTATTTTCCACAATTGTTAACATTGGAAGCCATACTTAACTAATGTAAGAGTTACACATGTTAACTTGGGGACGATTAATTCTATCTAAAACAATTATTAGTTATTTTTGTCTGTATATGAGTTCTTTTTAACATTTAAAATTTTTCTGTAGTTGTTTGTCTAAGTTAGGTTTTTAGAATATGATACGGTAGTACTCCGGGTTTCGGGTGCTATATTTTTTTCTTAAAATCTAACTCTTAATGTATTAAATGCTAATTGGTGTACGTTACATCTTGTATGTCAATGTGATTATAATTTTATAGTTTTATTTTCTGAACGGATTAAACAATAAAATGTTCTGTTTGAAATTAATGCGAGTTTATTTTCATAACGGTTACCATTCCACGGGGTTTTATGGGATAGGTTTGTCTTTAGATCATCTTTTATCCCCGAAGGGGTAGGCAGAGGTGCACATCACAGCACTTAATGCCACTGTGCAATATAGTTCCCACTTTTCACTATTTATGTTATGCGTCTCATGTAATAAGGGATGACTCTTTAGATATTATAACAAAATTTTCTGATTGTTTCAAAATTAATAAGCAGGTCTGTAATAAAAACAAGAACAATACACAAATTAACAGAAATATTAGCAAACATTTAAACAAAGACAGATAATCCCAAACCACCACTAAACAACAAAACAAAAAAAAGAAAGACAAAAAAGGGGGAAAATCCAGTAAAAATCATCACGACGACCCACAAAATTCTCATAGAATATAAAAGAAAATATTCTGTGTGAAAATTCGCAACAATATCGCATTTTTATCATGTACTCCGGGTACTTGTTAAGCGAGTGGGATCCCCTGGAGCGGGAGGAAAGCCGGAAAATTGTTTCTTTACAGCACTCCCGTCTCTAATCTTGAAGGGGAAACGGCCATTAAAAAAATACCCAAAGTATTGACAATCTGATGTTTTATTACGAACCTCGTTTGATGTTTGAGGGTGTTAAACCAAGAACAGCAGGACAATTTGCTTTATTTTACGAGGTTTTAAAATAACAGATTTAGAAGTTGTTAAGGTGGAATTCAGTGGGGTATTTGCAAATGTAGAAAAAAGGGATGCTGAAGTAATCAGACATATTAAGTATATTGTTGATAGTAGTCAAATTGACGAAATAGTTCTAGTTTATGGATTCCAAATAGATACACATTTACAAGTAACTACTAGAGATGAAGAAGATAAGAATTGGAATATAGAATTTATTGTAGACAGCAATTTAGATAAAGTCGTCTAAATAAATGACAGCCTGGACGATAAAAAAGCAAAAATCAATAAAGAGAGACAAGATGACATCACAAATACTAAACATCATCACGAAGCTTTCCTTCCAGATGAACTGACACCAATTACAGACAAAGAAAAATGGCCAGACGAACCAATCAGTGTAACTATTTACAAAATTAGTCCAACTTGCTATTCATGACGGTTACCCAGATATAACAATAATTCGACACAGCAATATGGGTATCTCCCATGAATTATGTATGGGGTATAAGCAGAAATAATAAAATAGTAAGATAGGGGGACAAAGCAGGGATTTTGGATGGAGACGATTCGTCACGGGTCCGTCACGGATTCGTAGAGCTGGTGTTTTTTTTTGGTAAGGAATTTGTATGCGATCGAGGACTTGCTAATCAATAGGAAAGAAAATGTAATCGTAGTAAATCTTTTGGATAAAGATTATCTTTTTCTGTATATTTGGTTCCATAATATGTTCATATTACTTACTCTTGGTAGATGATTAGATAGAAATAAAGAAAAAAATATTTATTACGCTAAGACACACACACGTCGACAAGAATACAGGTATACATAAAAAACCCATGGTGCGTCGCACCGCAAAAGGCTGGAGCTCAGCTTAATACCGTGGCCCGGGCTCGAAGGCTCGACTCCACGGCGCTGGTTTTCAGTACCGGCGCTGATTTAAACGTTTAACTCTTCTTGAATAGAATACACATGTGAAATTTCAAATGTCCATCATTTAGATAAAAAATAGCTTGTGATAAAAAAGCAGTATTTCAAGTAAATCTTAAAGTTCACACACAGCATGTTAATCACTGTTTACTTCGAACATAAACCTGAGGACATTCCCAACAAACACCAATAAAATCGTTTCTATTAATAATTAATACCAGCGCCGGCCGTTTGTGATGCACATAGGCTGCTCAAGCGCATACTCATTAGTCTGACTGCTTTACAACATTATATATCAGCATCACTTTGCATGACATGGACGCTGTGTAAATACAGTCAAGCTTTTTAATTAATGGAGACAGTCGCTTGTAGGGATTCATTCAGATTTATTTTGTGTTTACTGGGAAGTGGGAACTGAGGGCTTAAATTAACTATGCTGAGATCAACGTTAAATCTTTCAAGTTATTAGCTAACACCAAGCCAAATATAAAGTCACAGAAATATCAATGATTGATGCCCAACAGGTCTTCAAGCTGGGTGCAGTTTTGGCAACCCCAACTAACATTATTACAAATGAGGATCCTGACATTGAGTCAAGTATTATTTTAGCTCACAAATGGTCCTGAAATCGTGCCCAATCACCCGCGGACCCGGTTAACTAATTAACTGTAAAATGCATCCCGACCAAACTCACCTATAACTCGAATTTAAAGACTGAGCTGTCAATTTTGGCGCCAAAACAGCAAAAAGACGCCGCCTGCCGGTCGTAAACCGTCGCTTTCAAATCTGGAACGTGCTTTTATTGGCCAAGAGCTGACCAATCGCGTCGCGCGAGCAAATTTTACGGCCACCCATTGGTCGTCCGGCATTTTCTTATTTACGACTGTCCTAAGGATCGCTCGCAAAATTTCTATTAATAAATTAGTCGTAAACTGTTTGAAATTTATTATCATTGCGTTTCAACGTAATTATTTCCTTTATAAGAATAACATTATTCCTTGTTTGCAAGGAGAGACGTGGCTTTTATAATTCTTCTTAAACTTCTCAAAGTTTATCTTAATTTTTGGAGATCTCCTTTGTACTGAAAGGTCATGAATCTCAAATGTCCTCAGAACATTTGGGCTCTTCCCCATTTTAGGAAGACAAACATTGTCATCACATGCCTTTAAAAGTCATCCCAGACTGACGTGTTGAAACAAATGTCTTTAAAACAAATCAGCAGTACTGTTCTTGAAAGAAAAAAAGATAGTTATGTTATTACTGACTTGTGATAGAAATCAAGCTCATATTCATACACTAGACATAATCCTAGTCTTTGTTTACAGGTTACTAAATCTAAAGTACCCGTGCATACCTATGTCACTGCATGATCAAAAGTTACTGTAACGTATAATATGCTTTGATCAGTTTAGTGTTTATTGTATCTATCCATTGTAACCTGCTATCGACTAATCCCAGTTCAACTTGCAGGCATTTATCATAGTTAGAC